AATGAAAAATACCCTCTGCTAGATTCCCCATAATTTTTAGGTACAAGGTACTAGTGAGGCTTTAAGGAGCTTCATTATACTTGTAACCTACCCAGGCCTACTACCCGATTGATGTCACTGTTGTACTTGTGGCTGAAGTAATTTCACCTCTACCACCTGGCTCACTTATGCAGTGTGCATCAGTCACAACCCCTGTTTGCTCAGGGAAAATGAATTATGTCATCACTTCTAATGATGAAATTAAGAAAACTATCTCTTGGCAGGATCTTCATTCCATTCTCTGACTAGGGAATTGACCAGACACAGAGTTCATCCAGAACACCAATCCTCCGCTAACCAATGCTAGCTCTTTCAGGGACATTGTGGTTCTCACATCATGCTGTGATGAAATGTTTCAGGTTCTAATTCACCAACCTGCAAACTGCTTGCTGTATACTGGTCTGGTTTATGATCCTTTAGTAAAGGTGTTTTTTTCTTTTGTAACTTAAATTTTATGATTCTCTTCACTCCCTGGGGTGATTTGAAAGCACAACAGTAAACACAGAGCATGTAGATATTATGGGGATCCCAAACTTTCTGTGCTTTGGAAGGCACAACATGATGACAGAAAATCACTTGGTCCAATGTTGGCTTATTCTGCATTGCTGCCCATGGCCTTGAAAGAAAGACTGCATGACTTTGTGGTTCTAAGTTGCAGTCTGGTACCTCGATTGTTGGGGTGGTCAGCGGTCACCCAGAAGAGAAGGCCTGTGCTGTGCTTCTGTGAACAATGTGAATTATATTATCTGTGCACAGTATGTATTACATAAGTCTCAGCAATCTTAAGGGGAAGTCCTCTCCATGTACCGCAAAGGAGCCATGTAGGAAATTTCTTAGGCTGGTGTCATTTGTTGTAAGACTGAGGTGAAACTAATATTGGTACAAACTCTATTTTCATAGTGATGGGAGAGACTGTAATAAATTAGATGAAAAATGCCTCTTCTGAATGCAAATCCACAAATGATCCAGGTCCTGTGGCTTGTGTGATCTTTGTGTAAAGACATTCTCAGGACCTCCATAACTGTTTCCTGTAGCTGAAGTCATTGACAGAGAAAATGATCCAATGGTTTTGTAGATTCCCCTGGCCTCTGTAGGATGTTCACCTCAAAGTTTTCTCAACAGGCAAGAACTCCAAGCCAGAGAAAGGATAGTCCTATAATCAGTCCCAGGATGTGTCTTAGTGACCAGTCAGCATTCCTGTTGGTTCCGAGGGCAGAAGTCTTCGCTGCTGCCAATATTTGCTGCCACTGAGGCAAGGCTGTTCCTCCCAGGAAATGAGAACTGACATGCGACTAAGGACACTTTTCTAACTGTACTCTTTGGTGAGCCTTGACATAGGGATAAATCTGTGAAACCATCTCATGTGAAATAAATTTATCTGTCACTCTTAAACAGGGTAGGACTTTTTTTTTTACAGGAGGTCTATTTTCTTAATTTTTAAAAAATATATTGTTATTGATTTCAGAGAGGGATAGAAACATCAATGTTGAGAGAGCTCGCAACCTGGGCATGTTCCATGACTGGGAATCGAACCGTGACCTCGTGCTTTATAGGTTGACACTCTTTATTCATATAAAGAAAACGCTTATGAAACCCCATGAATCCTATTCTAGCATTCCATCATTACCTACCATCATGGTGGTTCTTGTTTCTATCTATCCCCAGTTACACTAGTGGGTTATTTAACTTAAAATCCCAGATATGTCTGGTCATGCCCTGATAGCTCAGGTGGTCAGAGCATCATCTCAATAATGCCAAGATTGCAGGTTCCGTCTCTGCTCGGGGCACATACAAAAATCAACCAAGTAATGTATAAAATTATGTTAACAAATTGATCTTACTCTCCCCATTTTTCTTTCTCTAAAATTAATATCTTTGTTTTATTCACCCAGTCAGTCCATACACATGTGAACACCAGTGTAGCTCAGGGACCACATGGTGACCAGTAGCCAGGGTTCTCATGAGGGCAGAGCATGAAATGACCAAGAGAACAGGAGGGGAGGTGCCTCTGTTGTCGATGTAGCAGGTGGGGGACCAAGGCCGAGCTGCACAAACACCCATAGGGGATGATGGCATCATTGTGCTTCCTGGAACTAACACCAAAGCAGCCAGGAGAAGCTCTGGGCTTGGACAAGCCCCTTGTGGTCTCTGCACCTTCCATGCAGGTGATGGAGGAGCCCAGATTCCTCTCCGGTGTCAGGGCTGGGAGCAACAGTGGCAGCTGGGCAGGTGGGAGTGGGCAGGAAAAATCCCAGAGCAGTTTCCAGGGGGAGTTGGTGCTGGAGCCATGTATGTGGCTCTGAGACCCTCACTAGTCCAAGTCCAGGCTGGTGGCCACTCTTACTTTTGGGAAAATGGAACCAGCTGTGCTGTAGGAGTTCCCGGGGGGTTGTGACCTGGGAATCAATATGTGCTTCACAAAAGCTTGTGACCCAGGCAGTCACAACCTAGTCCACTGTAGTGAGTGGTCTGACCATTGACTTTCCCCGGGAGGGGAGGAGCAGTGTCTGCATAGGCTGAATATCTGCCCAGCAGGAGGGGTTGCTGGCTACTGAGCCATCTGGTCCTCTGGTGGGTTTGAAGTGTCTTGAAGTTTAGCAACTAAAGGAAGTTATAGATATTTATCAATCTAATAAGAGAAAATGCCTCTGAATTTTTCTTAATAGTAAACGCCCACCCAGTGTGGCTCAATGGTAGGAGGGTCAGACCACACACCTGAAAAGTGTCGAATTAGATCTCAGGTCAAGGGCATGTTACCGGGTTGCAGTTTCAATCCTCAGCTCCCATTGGGACTCATGTGGGAGGCATCCAGTTGAGGTGTCTCTCTCACATTGATCTCTCTCTCTCCACCCTTCCACTCTCTCTAAAAATCATGGAAAAATATCCTCAGGTGAGAATAAACAAGAAAAAAAAGAAGCGGAAGCCACCTTGCTGCCCTGAAGTGGGGCCTCTACCTGCTCGGCCCACCTCTCCTCAGTCATTCTTGCCATTGCCTGGGGTGTTCCCACTGCGGAGGGGCACACTATGTCCTTCTCCCAGGGCTGGCCAGGGCTCTTCTGTCTCCTCCACCCAGAGGTCTCCCCAGCCTGCTTTTCTCCATCCCTCAGGCACCTGTCCCACTGCAACTGAACCTCGGTCTTTATCTCAGAGTAGCCCCCTGATCTCTGGGCCCTCAAATCAGTTCACCTTTGGAAAGTCCTGCTTCTACCCAGCCCACAGGCATCCCTGAGCCCTACTGGCATTGTTTGAGTCTCTGTTTTTTTTCATTTGGAGGGTAATTTCCACTTTGATTTGATTAAAAATTAATCCACCCCTCCCCCAGCTCAGGAGGGACCACTGATTCTCCAGGAATGTGCTGTGTTTTCTTCAATGCTGAGAACATTCTGCAATACAAGCGATTCTGAAAAGCGAGGCTTGGGCTCAGCATGCTGCCACCTTGGGCAG